ACATATCACTTATCACATATCAAGTATTTCGTTATTATTTAGGTGTGTATTTTAGCACCACATTTGTCATACAATGCATGTTCGAATTTTTCTAACAACCAATGTATTTTACATGTGTTATTTTTTTTTTAGTATATAGCATGTGACCATGATTTAATTTAGCAGATTGGTGTAAAACTTCAGACTTACTAACTTTTCTTTTTGTTTATAATCTTATAATCCATTATAATTTTCTTCCCAGGTCTGGAAATATATGGCATATTTTATCTTGTACATTCTCAACCATCGCCAGAAAATGTTCTTAGGAAGTGCAGAAAGTTGATTCCAGTGGATACAAAGGTAAGAAAATAATTTAAATCCAAATAAATAGTGTAACAAATTTCTAGTGAGAGACTGACTTTTTTACTGTGCCCAATTTAACATATTGAGTCAGGAAAAAAAGACTGTAAGTATATACAGTATTTGCTCTATTAATACATGAACTTACGTAAATCAAAGAGTTGTGTCTGTGGTAAAAATAAATCATATTTCAATGATCCATAATACAATAAATGCAATTTTTGTATGCTCTTCTATTGGGCACTTTTAATAAAGTAAATATGGTGATGCTATTTTTCTAAACTCGTGAAATTATAATACATCTCTATGTTATCTTCAAGGATTTTCTTGGATCTGACAAACTGCTTGTCCTCCACATAGAGCATGACAATGTTACCATAGATGAGAGTTCATTTTACTGGTACCATCCCAGTAATGGACAAGCTGAAAACTGTGAAGTGAACATTGTTGATGATAGTCATTTACCGGATGAAATGATGACATTTCGCATCAAAGCTAATCTGCTTCTGCAATTTGACTATATGAAACCGAAAGGTGAGGTTGTATAATTTTACACCTTTTGTCATCCAGTTTTTGTGTGCGATCTTTTGCGTTTATTGGCATGTCCTGTTTCTGTCATGTGCTACTTCGTTGCAGCATTAGATATAAATGAACCTCTTTGAACGTGATGTATGTGTGACTCAAATTTCACCAGAAAAGAAGACATCAGAATGTGGGATGCCAGTAAACATGTTTCAAACAAATGCACATATAACACATTTTTTTTTGCATAATAGTTATCATATAATAATTCTGATATAAAAAAAATTGGGGCAAATATGAATATGACATTTTTTATCTTCTCAACAGATGCACTTGAATCCCTTTCTGTTGAAATTGAAGAACTTTGCGATAAAATCGCTTCTCCATCATCAGCATATCACATAGAGAACAGTAGTCTGGTCATGAAATGTGATCATAGTGTGGATGATGTGACAGTCACTGAGATGTCCAGAGAAACACCATGTGAGAGAATATTAGAACATATCTATTTGGAAGAAGATGATGACTTTGATACTATTGTGAAAGCAAAAGGAGGGAAAAAGAAGGGCAAGAATAGATCCAAGGCATCTGTGGTATGTGAGGCAGATTTAAACTTTTCG